TTGGACTGCAGCACCCAGAATCCCCAGTCACTGGCCCTGCTGGATAGGAATTTTGGGAGTTGAAGACCAAATGCCTCTGAAGGCCACTAGGTTAGGGAAGGCTGCTGTAGATAAATTTGGCCTTAGTCTCCGGTGAAACATCCTTGAACTTGATTGCTTGCCGGCCTAGAAACCCAAAACAGCCTAAGAGGCCTAGAAGGAAGCTGCCAGGAAAAATAAAGATTTTGACCTGGAGGCAGTGGGAAGATCTTTGGAGGTTGAGGGCAAAAAGAGCAGAAGACTCAGTTTAGGCTGCTTCCCTTCCATATATCGGACTCAGCATCATCTGACCTTTACTGAGGAGTGTTCTCTAGCTTGAAAGAGTGTGCTACATGGGCCAAAACAAAAGTTTTGTTTCCCATGAATTCAGAGTGAGGGAACAAGATGCGGAGGGTCTGTTCCTGCTGCTTCCCCCATGTCCTTACTGTTGCTAGCCAGATTCTCTACCCCGCCCCCCCGCCCCCCAAGAGAGCGAGCGAGCGAGAGAGCTAGCGCAGTTATTTCGACAGCTCCATCTCCACTGCACTGAAGGGGTGCCCCACCCGCCTTCCCATTCGCCTTGCCGTCTGGCCTGTCCTGCAGCCCCTGCAGCAAGGAAGGCTCATCTCCCACCCTTCACCCACAGCTCGGTCACACCCCAAATCTGATGCCTGGCCCTCGAGCCAACCTCCTCGTGTGGTGCTGATCCTCCAACGTGACCTGCCTGGGAGGTGTTTGCTCTGGCAGCAGCTCACCTGCGTCATCAGGTGCTTACAGGAGACCCAAAGGCCCGATGTGCGCGCATCTTTCCTTAGCGAACATTAAAAGGCTTAGCTGGAAGCATTAAAGAGCTTAGGTGGAGGCAATCGAAGGTTAGGAGGTGAGAAAGGTGAGGCTCCAGGTCAAGGGCTTTCAGGAAGATGCGCGGATCTCCTGGCTCAAACAGAAGGCAGAAAGCAGCGCCACAATCACCCACCCTCTGGAACGTGCACCGCGCTTCCCCAGGGCCGGTTCATGGATTACGGCACTCGCTGAGCACCCCTCCTTGCAGCACCCACAGGACTGGTCTCCCCGTTTGGGATGCAGGGCGGGGGGGGGGTGAGAGCAGATGAGCCAAGGAGCAAGAGCGGGGGCGCTTTCCTCCTCCTGCTGTGGCACAGGGCCGCTCCCCACCTGACGGGCACCGAGAGTTCGTAACGGGCCTGGAGCCTTCCCCCCCGAGCAGCGCCGCAGCATCACACCCGCCGGACACAGCAGGAGCGCCGGGAGGCCTTCGCCCGCGGTCTCCTGACATGCACCCCTCCTGCCACCGCGTCTCCTCGGGGGACCAGCAGCAGCTCTGCTTCCGGCGCTCGCTTTTGCACCCGGCAGGTGACCCGAAAGACGGGGGGCCCCTTTGCAGCCGTTACCCCAGCTCTCCAGGGTGGGACGTGGACTCTCGCCTGCTCCTCAGCCATGTGCTGCTCGGCCAGCTGAGCTTCCTTTCCTGCTGCTGCACCTGCCTCCCTCGCACGGAGGCGGCACCCCTTCCCCTCCCGCAGGCCCCCATGGACGGCTGACTGGCACCATCGGGCGGCTGGGAGCGCTCCTCCCACAGCAAGACCTGGCGCTCCTCTCCGGACAAGCAGCTGGGGGGGGGGGGCATGTGGGGCACGAGGTCAGTCCTTTGGCAGATAACCCTGAGAGCAGTGCCCCAAACGCTGCCCCAGACCTCCAAGGGGGTGCCTAGGCCTGGCGTTTGCAAGTTTGGGGTGCCCTTTTGCCTAGGAGCAGTGCTGGAAGAGGTGCCGAGGACCATGAGCTACGCCTCCATGTCGCAGGAACAGCTGCCTGCCCTTGCACCCAGTCCTTCCTTCTGCGCCAAGCCGCAGCTTATTTATTTACTTATTCGATCTGTGTTTCTGTTTCCCTTAAAGAACTCAAAGCAGCTTGCCTGCTGCTCTCCGTCTTTTGCCCACAGCAACAACCCTGTGAGGCAGGCTGGGCCGAGAGTCTGTGAGACGGGCCCAAAGTCAGCCAGTCGGCTGCTTGGCCGAGCGGGGACCAGAATCCAGCTCATCTGAGTCCCAGTCCTGCGCTCCTAACCGCTAGACCACACTGCCTCTCAGCCACCATTGCTGGCCTAAGCGGTGCTGCCACCGTGTTTTCTGTGGCAGCAGCCACTGAGTTCTTCTACAGGAACCTGTCAAAAGAACCGGCATTTATGGGCGCACGGCAGGCGAGTGCAAAGAGGGCAGGTGCCCTTTTGGGCTGCATGAATGGGAGCTGCACTTCGTTTCCCCTCTGCTCAGCACCTGGAGTCCAGTGTCCAGGCCGGGGCACGGCAGTTGGAGAAGGTGCAGGCAAGCTGGAAGGAGTCCGGAGGAGGCGACAAGGGTGATCAGGGACTGGAGACCAGGCCCTGTAGGGAGAGACGGAAAGCACTGGGCCTGTTCAGCCACGTGGAGGGAAGGCCCAGGAGAGGCAGGAGAGCACTGGACAAGCTCCTGAAAGGCGTCACTCCAAGGCAGTGCAGCACACAGGACAGCAGGCCTAAGTTACGGAAAGCAGCTTCTGGCTCGATATCAGGAAAAACTTCCTGACTATTCAGAGCAGAGCGACAACGAAACCCATGACCCGCGGGGATCGCGAGCCTTCGAGGGGCACCTGGGCAGCCATGTGAGCTGGATGGGTTAACCTGGAGTCCTGCACTGAGCTGGGGCTGACTCAGCGGCCCTCTGGCCCCTTCGAACGCTCCTGTGCTGTTTCTATGATTTTAGTGGGAAAAGGGGGCTCCAGACACAGCCTTCGAGGAGGCATCTCCGAGTCGGCAGGCAGGCAGGCAGGAAGGGCCCAGGCTGGCACCCTGCCAGGGATTCCCCTTTCGGGCCTCTGCCTGGTTGCCGGCTGCACAGGCGGGGGGTGTCTGCATGCGAAGGAGTGGCGCCTGCCCTCCGCAGAGGGGTGCTGTGGGGTGTGGGCTGCGCAGCTGTGCCCGGATGCCCTGGAGGTTTGCTCCTATGGCTTCTTGTTGCCTCGCCTCATCTGCTGCCCTCTGGGTGGGCAGGGGCCATGCTGGCCAGAGGGTGGTAAAACAGGGCGGCGAGCAGGGCGACGGCTGGCGCTGGCACACGCTGGCACACGCTGCCTTCCCCGTGGCACAGCAAGAGCACGGAACTGCTTGCCCTCACCCACCATGTCCCCCTCACTTCAGCCCACTCCCCCGGGGCCGCTGTGGGCATTGCCCGGAAAGATACTCTCACTCTTTTCCGACGCAGGCGACCAGGTCAAAGCCCTGGAAGGCCCTTTCCCAGGCAGTTTCAGATCATTGCTGCTGAGCCTTGGCAATATGACCAAACTGGATGGCCTCACATCCTCGCCTTCAGCCGAAGCGAGCCAGCGGGCGGGTGGCACAGTGGCCTTTGCGCTCTCTGTTCTCAGCCTTGCAAGGGCACCTTGATAACAAAGTGGAACGAGAGAGAACCTGCTGCTGAACGATGGCTGGATTTTCTTTCGACATTCTCAGAGAGGGCCAGGAAAGCTCTGGAATCGGATACATGACCATCATACCAGAAGACAGCCAGAACAACCTGATAAATAGACAAAAGGGAGCAGCGAAGCGAGATGGGAAACGGAGGCAGGAGAAAAACTCCAAGAGGAGTCATGCAAGTGCTCACCAAGTCCAGCATTCTGTTCACACAGTGGCAAGTGCAACTGCACCCTCCCACCCATGTTCCCCAGCACCTAGTAGGCTGAGGCACATGGTCTCTGCTACCAGAGGTAGCACAGGGCCACTGGGACTGGTAGTCACAAGCAGCGCTCTCCTCCTCCATGAACATGTCCAAACTGGACAATGAGCAACTGAGGAGCAGCAACACCAAACGTGAGCAAGGGTCGCAGCTGAGTGTTTACTTTTGGGGCCACTTCTGTTTGCTGGAGAAACAGCGCCCCCCCCCCGCCCCGGGGGAGGGCGGACTTCTGGATGAGGCACCTGTGTGACTTGATGAGAATCAGAGAAGCTAGTGGAGACGGGCCAAGGGCCGAACTGCAGGTGAGTTAAATGCACGTTTGCATCTATTGTGCAGCTTTTTAAAAATGTGAGTAGCATCAGGGGAGCGGCTGTACTGTGTCGTAGCTGTTTCTTTGATTTACACCCTGTCATTCTAGCAAGATAAATGGCACTCAGGGTCACAGCTGGAATTGGGCTTCTGAGGATATGCCTTCCCTGAAGCTCACGTCTGTCCTGGCTGGGTGCCTCTGGCCCACGAAGCTGGGAAGCGGCCTTTGGCGAGCTGTGCCTTCTCGCTCCGGGTCCGACTTTGGCAATGTTCAGGGAACTAATATTAGCTTAACTTGCACCAGCCTTCTCCAAGCCAGAGAGCACCAGGCTGGGGAAGGAGGAAGGGCTGTGCTCCACCTCTAGATAACACACTTGAATTGTCGAGCAGTCAGAAGCACTGCAGAAATGTCAGAAAGGGTCTTGTGACACCTTAGAGTCACCTTAGAAAATCCTGTTTTCAGCGTAGCCTTCCAGTGGCCACTGGGCCAACTCCATCGGGGGCCTGCCGTTGTATAGTGGCAGGTGGCAGGTACAGTACTTTGGGGTGGGGCAAGAGCAGGAGTGGGGCTGGGCACTGAAAAGCTCCGGAGCTCAGCCCCACAGTACACCCCCTGCAGCAAAAGCGAATACGCTTTTAAGTGTGCGGGTCTTTAAGGGACCTCCTTCCCCTCGGACACCCGTATTTGTGGAAAGGGGTTGTGCGCAGGGAAGAGGCGGCGGCCTGCTGCCAGAAGAAAGCCGGCGAGGTGCTGGGCAGGGGACCGGCCTTCCCAGGACCATGTCGGGCCCCAGCCCCGAGCCGCCCGCGCGCACCGCCGCTGGGCAGGGGCCGCCAGC